AATTTTCAGTTTACTTAATTATAATGAACTGATTAATTATTTACTGTAGTTATTATTATTATTATTATTATTATTATTATTTATTATTATTGATTTAAAGTAGTTAATGTTATTTCAATAATGGTACAGCAATGTGAAGAAACACAACTAACATTATATAGAACACACACACACACACACACACACACACACACACACACTCTCTAACCTATGAAACTATCAGTGGTGTGTGTGAAGCTGATTAACTAATGAAAAGCATTCTTATTATTTGTTTAATTAAAAAACAGTGCAGTAACACATATGACTGAAATACTCACTCAGCTCTTCTGGAAGCCTTGATCACTGGCAGCAGATTCAGAACACATTCATCTGATTGGTCATATTCATTCAGGTCAAACATATCTAGCTCCTCTTCTGAGTTCAGCAACACAAACACCAGAGCTGACCACTGGGCAGGAGACAGACTGACTCCACTGAGGCAAAAGTAATCTTCTCTCCTCACGTATGTTTGTACTTCCTGCAGAAGAGAATGATCATTCAGTTCATTCAGACAGTGGAACAGATTGATGGATTTCTCTGGAGAGGGATTCTCACTGATCTTCTCCTTGATGTACTGGACTGTTTCCTCTTTACTGTGAGAGCTGCATCCTGTCTGTGTCAGTAGGCCTTGTAAGAGAGTCTGATTGGACTCCAGTGAGAGGCCCAGAAGGAAGCGGACAAAAAGGTCCAGTTGTCCATTCTTACTCTGTAAGGCCTTGTCCACTGCAGACTTGAGGAAGTCTGACAGTTTGGACTCTCTGAAAATATCAAGGAGATCAGTGGTCAGCTGTTTTGTTTCATTTCTGCTGATGAAAGAGAGAAATGCATATAAAGCAGCCAGAAACTCCTGAACACTCAGGTGCACAAAGCTAAACACCTTCCCCAGGTGCAGCCCAAACTCCTCTCTGAAGATCTGGGTACAAACTCCTGAGTACACTGACACTTCTCTGACATTAATGCCACACTCTCTCAGGTCTTCCTCATAGAAGATCAGATCGCTTTTTTCCAGCTGTTGGAAAGCCAGTTTTCCCAGTGCCAGAATACTCTCTCTAGCCTGCTGAGGATCAGTGTCACATTTCCCATGGTACTTTTGGTCCTTGTGTTTGATCTGAAAGATCAGGAAGTGGGTGAACATTTGAGTCAGAGTCTTGGGGATCTCTTTACTCTCTGCTTCACCCAAAACCCTCTCTAGAACAGTGGTTGCAATCCAGCAGAAGACTGGGATGTGGCACATGATGTAGAGGCTTCTTGAGGTCTTCATGTGTGAGATGATTTTATTGGCCAGGCTCTGGTCACTGATTCTCTTCCTGAAGTACTCCTCTTTCTGAGGGTCACTGAACCCTCGTATCTCTGTTACCAGGTCAACACACTCAGGAGGGATCTGATTGGCTGCTGCTGGTCGAGAGGTTATCCAGAGGAGAGCAGAGGAAAGCAGATTCCCCTTGATGAGGTTTGTCAGTAGCACATCCACTGAGGCTGAATCTGTTACATCCCACAAGCTCTCATTGTTCTGGAAATCTAGAGCAAGTCGACACTCATCCAGACCATCAAAGATGAACATGAATTTATAAGCATCACAGTCTATTGATCTTAGTCCTTTCAAATTTGGGAAAAAGTGATGAAGGAGCTCCATCAGACTGCACTCTTTCCTTATCAAATTAATCTCCCTAAAAGGAAGTGGAAATATGAAAAGGATGTCCTGATTTGCTTTTCCTTCAGTCCAGTCCAGAATGAACTTCTGCACAGAGACTGTTTTTCCAATTCCAGCAACTCCTTTAGTCAGCACAGTTCTGATGGGTCTGTCTTTAAAGAGGTCATTGTGTTTGATGGGTTTCTCCTGTGTTGCTGGTCTCCTGGATGTTGTCTCAATCTGTCTGACCTCATGTTCATTATTTACCTCTCCACTCCCTCCCTCTGTGATGTAGAGCTCTGTGTAGATCTCATTCAGAAAGGTTGATGTTCCATGCTGGGAGATTCCTTCATAAATTCGGTGAAATTTTTTTTCCAGTTTTTTTTTGTATATAATGATCCAACCTGAAAAGTGGACACAAAATACATTAATAAAAATTTGAATTCTGTGTAGATTTATTTCAAGAAAGTGGACTGTGCTACATTAATTCTCCATTTCCTCATCAGCTTGGAAATTAGTTTTTACTTGCACACAGTGATAATTTGCAAATTATAGAAAAAAAATAGATCCAAGCACATTTTTAAAAAAATATTTGGATTATTAACCACCATATCTTGCTGTGGATTTCTTTCTTGGGCTGGAGTTTCGGGCATCCTCATAGCTGGAGCAGGACTGATGTAAGACTGAGGAGATGGGTTGGTGTTGGGCATTGCAAACACTTTGTTATGGGAATAGAAGGTAAAGGATGTGCTAAGCTCTTGGGTAGGATAGTTGCTTCACAGTTGCAGTCCCAACTGGAGGCAAATACTTTATATTCAATCTGGTTTTCGTCCCTTGCGTAGTACAGAGACCACACTTTTTAGAGTTACTAATGATGTCCTATGTGTAGCTGATTCAGGAGCTCTTAGTGATAGACAACAATATGTAGCTATTCAGAATCATAAATCCTCTATGGTGTCTGTTACTAAGCGTGTGCCACCAGGCCACGTTTTAGGTCTGCTACTCAATTTACAACCCCATTTCCAAAAAAGTTGACACTTTGCAGAATGTAAATAAAAATAGAATGCAAATCATGTAAACCATGTTTTTTAAAGGAAAACACTAAAAAATACAACATATCAAATGTTGAAACTGAGAAAAATTTTGTTTTTTGTTTTTTTTTTAAATACACGCCCATTTTGAATTTGATGCCAACAACATGTTCCAAAAAGGTTGGGACAGGGGCATGTTTACCACTACGTTTCATCACCTCTTCTTTTAACAACTCTAAGAGTTTGGGAACTGACAAGACCAATTGCTGTAGTTTTGAAAGTGAAATGTTTACACATTCTTGGTTGATAAAGGATTTTAGCTACTCATCAGTTCAGGGTTTCCTTTGTCATATTTTTCACTTCATAGTGTGTCATATGTTGTTTTCAGTGGTGACAGGTCTGGACTGGGGCATATGGTGCCAAAACATGAATCTATCGTTCAGCATTAATGGTGCCTTCACAGATGTGCAAGTCACTCATACCATGTGCTCTAATGCCCCCCTATACCATCATGAATACTGGCTTTTGAACTGTACACTGATAACAACCTGAGTGGTCTTTAGCCCGGAGGACACAGTGTCCATTTTTCCAAAAAGAACTACAAATGTTGATTCGTCGGACCACAGGGCACTTTTCAACTTCACCTCAGTCCATTTTAAATGAGCTTGGGCATTTCCACTAGAGAATCATGTCTGTTTTTCATGCGGTACCTCCTGAAGGACCAAAGATCACAGCCAGCAAATACTGGTTTTTGGCCTTGTCCCTTGCATAAAGGGATTTCTCCAGATTCTCTGAATCTTTTAATGTTATTATGTACCAAAGTTCTCTGCTATTTTATGTTGAGAAGTTTTTCTTGAATTGTTGCACTATTTGATCACGCAGTCTTTCAGAGAGTGGTGAACCCCTCCCAATCTTTACTTCTGAAAGACTCAGCCTCTCTGAGATGTCCCAATCATGTTACTGATCTGTTGCCAATTAACCTCCAGTTGTAGCAGTACACAATTGTCCCAGCCTTTTGTTGCCCCAGTCCCACCTTTTTTGGAACATGTTGTTGGCATCAAATTCAAAATGGGCATATATTTTTCAAAAAACAACAAAATTTCTCCTTTGTACTATTTTTCAAATAAATATAGGGTTTAAATGATTTGCACATAATTGCACTTTGTTTTTATTGAAATTTTGGAAATGGGGTTGTACACACTGCCAATTAGCCATATAATGCACCATTATGATATAAATTATCATTGTTGCGCAGACAACACTGTCAGCATCAGCCCTGCTCAGATCACACCACCACATGCTTTATCTGACTATATTCATGTTATTCTGCAGGCAGGTACTTTGTGTTTTATATTTTTAAGCAATTTAATCATTGTGCAGAGATCTGTTTTCATTTTGACATGAAAGAGTCTCTGTTGATTGATTATTTAAATCCACCTTTATTTAATATTCTATGCTAATAAAACAAACATTTCCAGGGGAGCACATCTTTCTTATATAGTACACTGTATATTATTTCAGAATAAAGTATTTGATCAATGTTAGCATTTTATTCATTACAGCCTTAAGCAAAACTTGTAGATAGGTATACAGAAATTAAATGCATATGTGTGGTTTCTCTAATGAACCTTAGGCTTTTGATTTTTTATCTCTATAAAATGTATAGTAGGCTTCTCAATCACATGTATTCCCTGTTGATATTGTTTGTTTAATGTGATAGACAACATGCCCATTTACAGAACTTGCAATAAGTAGTTACTATGAAGGAGTAGTAAATAACCACTGATGTTACCTTCAGTGAGAGCAGGAGCACCAGAAGAACCTCCAGTCTGCACTGTACTGGTGCTGGAACTGGAAACTTCCTGACCTAGAGGAGAGATAACTGGAAATATCAGACTGTTATGAAAGCTGCTTAAAACTAATAGCAATTACTGAACTGTATTTGTATATCACACCTCTAAAATAATAAACCAGACACACTGATGTATAAATAACCTAAAACCCTCAGCCTCATGAATTTATTTACACACAGTTTCTTACACTACATCACTCACCTCCCTGAATAATGGTTACATTCACTGAGCCTTGAATATTGTTTCCATGGAGAACAGGAGCACAGACGGTTCCTTCTGTCTGAGCTGTCATGTTGGTCTGAGCAGGACCAGTGTGAGCTGGAGTGGATGCTTCCATCTTCTAACTGAAAAGTCTCTGGTCATTAAATCAGGAAGTTTATTGTGGTACTTCAGTAATTTCTTTTAAATACCTGTTTTTAATCCTCTCATCACAAAAAGGCCAAGGTTCAGACTGAGTCTCTCTCTTTATGTTCCTCTCTTTACTAAACAGAGCTGCTGAGTTTCACTTCCACTAAAATATGTTTAGACTGCTTTAGTTCAGGAGGAAGTTTTAGGAGGAAGTTCAGGGTTTACTGTGGAACTATTTCTTATAGAGAGGAGCAGAATGAAGTGTCTCTCAGCCAATCACATCACAGGTGCCTTTCAGAGCAAAAGAGGAAGAAAGAAGAGAGGAAGGGGAGAGAGACAGAAAGAGAATAATCAGTTAAAGTAGACTGAAGATGGAAATGCATCCAATAGATACACACCACATCTGGACAGCTGTGAAATACAATAAAAGTCAAGAAATGTTTCAAAACCAAAAATTTTAACAGTCCAGAGACATTATTGGGAGACCTCACTTCAACAGATAATCGCAAGGTAATGTGCAACCTACATTTCTTCACACATCATCTTGCAGACTGGCATGTAGTAACATATGAAACATTTCTTCACATAAGAAAAACAGAATAAGCAAAGATAAACAGTTGAAAACCTCTCCCAAAACTGCTCCCAAAACATAAGAAAACTGTATCTCAAAAAGGAATGTCACAGCTCCACAGAAAACACCACACAAGGACATTCTTCAGGAGCCCAACAGAGCAACTGGAACACACATCTGAACTAGCCAGCAGTATCAGGACACTAAAAGCAGGGCTGTCTGTCCTGGAGCAGGAATTCATAGATTTTTTCTTCATCAGAAAAATAACAACAGCCAGCCAGCCAGAGAATTGTACATTAGAAGGGAACCGTCAGCGTCCTCTACACCCTCAGAAGGGGCCTAAGAATATTTTTTTTTAAAATAGAGCAGTTTTAGTTTATAGTTTTGCCGTATCTGCTGTTGCTGGAAAGAATGATGGTGATTGGTGGTCCAGCTAAAAATTTACAGAGGGCCAAGCAATTGTTATTCAATGAGAGACCAATTTCAAAACAGTAAAATTGATCAATCATATCTTCCCTCTACAGGGGTGGGCTTTATTATCGCTAACTTTGACAAGTTCCTCCCACTGTGGAGACATGCAGACACAAATCTAGCAAAAAAAGGATAGCTGGGACTGCTTGCTGTTTGGTGGAGACGAGGTCTTGGGCCAGAGAGGGATTTTGTGATTTAGGAAGTTTATCCAAGTCAGCCTATCGCTATCAGAATGCTTGAAAAACAATTGTTGATTCATTTAAAAGCAAAGAATCAGTTGTGTGAAATATATGTGGACATGAAGTGTCTTTTCGCTAGGACAGCAGATGCAGCGCCTCCCCCAGGTCATGCCCTGCTATCACCGTATATTGTGAAAGTGAAGACATAATGGCACTGGTTGAATAATGGAGAATAAATGAGAATAAAATATATGATTTAATCTAGGAATGTACTTTTATTTGGGGGAGCTAAATAAAATTTATAATATTAAGTTAATATTATAAAATGAAATACTAATAGTCCATTAACTATCTGAATCTAAATCAGTATCAAACTGAATCTGTAAATCAGGCTGATTTATATACAACTACTCTGAATAAAACAAATGGTACTCTGAATATGAAAATTAATGGTCACAATTTTAATTATTTTAATATTAAAGCCAAGTTAAACTAGACTTTTCACTGTTATAATACACAAAAAAACTATGTTTTTACTAGTAAAATCATGTCATGCAGTTTAAAGACAGCACCACAAGGACACTGTTGGCTTGTTTTTTAAATAATCCTGGCTAATCTCCGTGTAATAAACTGCAGCTACTAATCAAGCAACAAATCAACACAAGCATTATCTCTCACTAGTGTTATTTTCTAGCGAGAGAACATGTAAAGTCAATTTTGAAGAATTTATTAAAATGTGTAAAAGACATGAGTGATATTCTGTAATTTGTGGATGAAGGACACTGATCCAAAGCACCAACTCTTCCTGTGATCATTTTCTAACTTAGCTGATGTGTCTTTACTCTGACTGGGAGAATGTTTTCCTTATCAGTCTACAGTTACTGTCATACTGTAATAGCAGCAGCATTAAATCTTCACCTGTGATTGCATTTATGCTATATTGAGTTTAGTCTTATGTAGGATCTGTTTTGAGCCTTTTATTACATGCAGTTTGGGACTATAAATTACAGTCACATAGTTCAGGACTGCAAACATACATGCAGGATGTACAGTGATGTTTATATGTTAAAGGATGGAGCTGCACTGAGCCGTGTACCCATTTCACTTAGAGTGTTTTATTTAACATCCAACAATAACACTTTTGTCTATGTCACTTTTAGTACAACCCAGGCTGCTTTCGAACCCCTTGGTAAAGAAAAGGTGTCTCTTGTGCTAGAGGTCAGAGGAGCTCACAGACTACCAGCACAGAGAATGGTCAGAGATAATTCCATGAATACTTTAATATTCTTAATCATAACACACGGAACAGTCCAGACAAACCATCAAGCTCCAAATTCAACAAGACATCAGAACTTCTTAGAGACCACCTCAGATTCATTTAGAGGGATTACTGGCTGGGTAGGAGACACAGCAAATGCTCACTGGCACAGCTGATTAATGATATTAAAGCATATCCGTGTTGAATTAAGTGAAAGTGATTAAGTGATTGCACTATATTTGTTGTAAAATGTTACTGTTAAAAGAAAACTTTAATGTTTGTGTTTTAGTGTAGTGTTTTGAAATTATCCAAACACCAAATTCCACAGTAGTGATCCCCTGTAGGCTACATATATACACAAAATGTTTATTCAAAATATAGTTTAATATTTGTACTACTCAGGTTTACTGCTTTGTTATGTTTGCCAGCTGGGTAAATACATTTTAATGAATTTGTGGTGTTGTATATAGAGCATTGCAGATTGATATAAAGACACAGATCCATAATTCATCATCACTGGAGCTAAAGCCCTAAAGACTGACCATCCTAGAAACAGTCCTGTAGTACGATGGTACATACAGTAAAGTTATTAGAGCACTTTTATCACAGAGTGTGCAGTGTTCAATTATACTGAATGGAAGTGTAAATAATGTAATAATATACTGTAAGTCAGTCACCCACTCTGTCTGCCCTGCGATGGACTGGTGACCTGTCCAGGGTGTATCCTGCCTGGTAACAAATGCAGCACAAAGGAATAACACCATTTTGGCGAGAATTAAACCGTTTTGACGCGATGGGGGGCTGAGTAACATGGAAATATGTAAATATTGCTTAATAACTTGTAAATAAGAACAGCGCAATCATTTCTTTTAATAGCACAAACCAGCACAAATGAAATGAGACCACTTTGGTCCAACTTGGACACACAACTGGGTTCAGGTGAATGTATTATCTGTATCTGGATCAAATTTAAGCACAATGGTGACAAAAAAAATACTGTCATTTTGCAAAGTGTCAATCAAGCAAACAATAAAGCATAAAAGGAGAAAATAGGTACTAGCACACCCAACAATTTTAGCAAAAAGAATTTGAACAGGTTAAATATGAATTTTATTAACAATTAAAAGTTTATTAACAAATTAAAAGAATCAAAAAGTTCTGTTGATTCTATTCTCATTAGTTGGCCTGATGCTGTAATGACTAATTTGACTCACGGCGCTCAAGGGCTGTAACAGGTGTGCATGGAATACAAGTTCATTTTGTACTGATATACAGTCCAAACTCTCTGCATTAGATTATAGAATCTGAATGATCACACAGCCAAACTGGAGGAACTCATTTTCTGCACAGCTCTTATCCAGAACAGTTTCAACATAAAACATTACTACAGCACAAATTCAAATATAATGCAATAAAGATAAGCAGCATGAAACAGAACAGAAATTTTAGAAAACATTTAGACTTGCTTTCCACATTTCTTCATCATTAGCCTGCAGGAGTTACTCTGTCCAGAATTACTCTGGACAGTAAATTTTGAGAGACTTACAAAGAATCAACACTTTGGACTGCCTGCATACTGCTGACACACCTTGAAACAAAACAGGTCTAAAGTCTGAATCTGAACCAAAGAGGAAGCAAAAAATCTTAAACATACAGCACAAACAAATGGTGCAGTAAGACAGGAAGTGGAAGTTAGAAACACTGGGGAGCTCTATTATTGTCCACGGACTAATATTTCAGTTTTCCATTTTTCAGTTTAGTCTCATCACAGACAGACAGACTGAAGACGCTCTTCATTTATTTCCTGCTAACACTTTTGTTGAAAGCTCTTACAAGTTTGATCTATTTAGTGTTAACTGCTGATGTCTTTGTGTTAACGGCACCTATAGTGGTGATTCAGAAACTCCAGTACAGAGTCAGATACTCACTGTGTTTCGTCTGAATTAGATTTATTCCTCTCTCTCCATAAAATGATGATCCTGTTCAGAGTTGATCCTCTGCTGGAGGTGGAGTCTCCATAATCTGGTTTAGCCACATTTGTTTACTCACAGCAGTTCTGAATGAATTCTGACCCTAATACAGCTCTGAGCCTATTGGGAGTAAATGAAGCACAGATATGTTTACTGTACTCTATCCTGCTGCCTCTCTCCCACTCCTGGATAAAACTGTGTTAATGATTGCAGCCAGACAAACAAGTACACTCACATTATTCACAATTGGTGGAAATAACCTACAACCACTGACCTGAGAACAGTGCAGCTTTTCCTCTTAAACCAGCATCTGGGTAGAGCGAGCTGCTCCCAGATCAGAGACAGATCCTTACTGTGGTAGATTAGCCCTGCCCACAGGAGGTTACATGTAAGAGGGTTTTACAGCCTGTTCACTGATCATCTTATCAGTGTGCTTTTACAGAGTCTACTCCAAACTAGAGATGGACACCAGTACTGGACTGAGTGCAGAGTTATGGAACCAGATTTTACACCAATGCTGCTCCAAGTTCACAAATTGATGTAGAATGACCATTTCAACATATACACACACACACACACACACACACACACACACTGTTACAACAAAAACACCCCCAGAGGAAACACACTGATATACACACGTGTAAACATGTGAAAATCTCATTTATTAAATCTCACAATCATAGTGTTTGCTATGATATATGCAAACCACAAGATGTCACTGTTTTCAATACACTGAAGCTTTAAAGCATTTCCTGGCATAATCACAGGGAAAAGCCTCAAAGCTTCACATGGCTTTTTCAGGCATCCCAAAGAGTTACATTATGTTGTACTTTGTTTTAAGATTCCTTACCACTAAAGTTCTTCAGTGGTTTGTTCAGTGATGTCAGAATACTGTGTGGGCTTTATTTACATTTAACTGAATGTCAGCATCACTCATGATTATCATTTCATTTTATGCTTTTTGTCCAGTGTATTTTTGTTATGTTGCACTCACTACTAAATTTTGTGTAAAGCTTAAACATTTCCAGTAGAAGCTGCTGATTTTAATCAGTGACACTCGTTGAGCCAATCCAAATACATTGAAATTCCTCAGACAATATAGAGATTGTTATTGTGATGACTTGGATCAGGTGTGTTGGGAGCAGGAGAACACTAAAATATCCAGGATGGTGATTCTCAGGGACCAATCCTGATAATCCTATTATTAACATAGGCACTAGTGTGCACAGAGTAAAAGGCAGAGTGTATCTTATATGGGATTGCCTGAAAATGGGTGGGGAAAGCTGTCCAAGATTGTAAACCCACCCATTTTTGTCAGGCAGAGAAAAGAACAAAGGACGCCACTTTCACAGAAGTCGAGAGAAAATGAATTTCCTAACTGAAACAGAAACAAAACAGACCAGAAAGAAGTTTTTTTTTTTTTCCCCCCAGAGAAGGAAATCTCGAGAGGAGGCTGGAGGAACTCAAAAAGTGAGGGGGAGTGCAAACCTCTCAGCCTTCTTACCAAAGAATTCTTACCACAGCAATGTGTGTCTTCTTCTCTGCGCTTATAAAGCCCTCCGCCCAGGTGTAGGATGTTGGACTTGATTGGACCTGGGAGGTGTGCGTCATCTCCCTCTGGTGGCCGGGAGCGCCGCAGCCCTGGAGCCAGCCCTTACAACTATAGCATGTAAGCAAAAATGGTTTAAGAAAAATACTAATTCAACACTTTTAATGTATTTTTAGAGTTCAGTCTTACAACACAGACACAAAGAGTATATTTAAATCATATCACAAGAGTGGCAAGATAACACATGACTTGTATAGACTTGTATTAAAATAGATAAAGCATGACAAATATATTTCAAGTACAAATTAGTGGTTCCAAAAGAACACAACCTCAGTGTATATACATATAGTTTACTTTTTCCCAAGGGAAAGTGATGATCCTTTTTTTCAGGCAGTGTAAAATGTATTATCTTGAATAACAACATATTACAGATAAATTCTCTTTGATGTAAGTACACAGATTCTACAGACTACCACGTGTTTTCTCCACTGTTAGATCTACATTTGATATAAAATTCTATTATACACAAAGTTTCAACTGTTTAGATGGATACCTATATTTTACATTTACATATTCATAAGGCCAGATATCACATTTATCACTAATAATATCATACTACTAATACAGAATATTTAATTGTGAGCATTGCTTCAAGTACATATAGGTTCAACACATAAATAACAGTGTTTAGAAATGTTTTGTAAAAGTATAGGCACAGTTCATTGTAAGCGCATTTTGAACACAAAATTAAATATTTTGAAGTTTTCTTCACTGAAGCACAGGTTTAACAAAAGTATAATCAAAGTATAGTTCGAACATATAATAAGCACAGTTCAATTTGATGAAGCACTTTTTCAATACAAAATAAATATTTGTTTACAGTTACAATACATGGACCTAGGACAAACTTGAAAAAGTATAGTTTTACCATAAAATGAGCACAATTATGTGTTTTATGAAGTATATCATCAGTGCCAAATTACGATAAATAAAATAAGTATACTTTTTCAGATGGTTGTAAAATATAGGTTCGGTAGTTAAAAAGATACATTTAATATATCCCTAGAGCATGCAGTATATAGTTTAAGTAGACTAGTATTATGTTTAAGTATACTTTTTTTTACAAGAGATATAATAATAGATGTAATGGTTTGGTTACATTAAAAGTACAGTATGAAATACATTATTTGTTTAGTTCAGTTTTTAAAGCTGCTTTACAGCATTATGTTACTTAAATTCATATGTACATTTATTTGAATAAGCTCTGCTGGAGTTTTCATGCTTATAGACAGTCACAGTAGTAATGGACTGTCTGTTTAACCAGGCAGTTGAGCTGATGAGCCTATGTTGTTAATGTTTATGAATGAAACATTATGAAAGTAAAATCTAAACTGCAGGAAATGTTATACTGATGATGAAAAGAGAACAGCAGGACAGCAGAGATACAGATCATTCAGCTGTTCTTCAAGAGGTGCTCTCTGCTGATAAAAGAATGTACAAACTTATCTCAGTATTTATGATTATGAAACTCTATCAGCATTTCCACTGGTTTAGAGTGTTGAGCTCATGTGGTTGCCATGATGCCTGATGCTCCTCCCACCTGTACACACTCATCACCAATGTGGGGTCATTCACCAATGTGAGGATTTTGATGGAAGGGTCGTTGAAGGTACAGTTACTGGTGTACAGGAAGTGATGTCAAGAGGAGATTACACAGTCATATACTGAGTGTGTGTGTGTAGTAAGACTTCATCCTCTCCTCATAATCCTCTGTGTGTGAGAGCAGATCAGCTGGAAGGTGTTCTGATGCTGTAAGACAGAGAAAAAGACAGAATCATTGGACATGGACTCAGACTGATGGGTCATTCAACACCAGCACACCTAGAACCTGTCCAGTCCTGTCATGGACTTCATAAAGAAAATCAAACACAATGTAAAATTTAATTCATTAAAGAATGAAAAACATCAAAGCTGTTCCAGTTAGAGTTTTAGTGATGAATATTTGCTCCATCAGGGTCTGAACTCCATCTTAAATATTGAGTTTATCTTCTTACAGAATGACTGAACTGAACTGAAATATTAACTGGGCATAAACACAACACTAATAAACGCACTTCACTGCAAATTAACTAGCTTTGTAATAGTTTATTATATAACTAATAAATTGGATCATGTTCTTATGTCATATTTGAAATAAATGTATCATCTAACCTTTGTTTGAATATTTGAAACACATGTACATTACACATATTACACAACTCCACATTCTACACACTCAGCACACTTTCTGTGTGAGTGTGGGTGAGAGTGTGTTTTTGTGTATGAGTGTGTGTGTTTGTGAGTGTGTGTGTGTGTGTGTGTATAGAGACAGTAAATCAGTAACTCACTGTAGTTTCTCCAGTTTACAGTGTGGATCCTCCAGTAGATCAGAGAGCAGCTTCACTCCTGACTCTCCTGGTTTATTGGAGTTCAGGTTCAGCTCTCTCAGGTGAGAGGAGGGGTTTGATTTTAGAGCTGAAGCCAGAGCAGCATAGCCTTCATCTGCAATACTGCAGTTATACAGCCTGCAGAGAGAAGCAGAAAAACTTGTAACACTTACAGATCAACACACACACTCAAACACACACACACACACAGCCCCATATTCTTTCCCTGCATTTCTATCTCTGTATTTCACACTGTTCTACCTGTCTCTCTCTGTCTCTCTATCTCTCAGTTCTACATTTTTTTCTGTCTGTCTTTCTGCCTTGCTCCTTCTTTGTCCCATACTTTCTTTCTTTCCTTCTGTCTCTCTGTCATTCTCTCTGTCTCCCTCTCTTTATGCTTAAATATGTTGCTGATATACTAAATGATGCAGAGATATGAAAGTGTGTGGGGTGTAATTATCTCACCATAGTGTCTCCAGTTTACACTGTGGATTCTTCAGTCCAGAAGAGAGCAGCTCCACTCCTGAATCCCGCAACAGTTTATTGGCACTCACATTCAGTTCTATCAGACTAGCAGAGTATGAGCTGAGAGCTGAGGACAGAGCTGAACAGCTTCTCTCTGTGAGATTACAGTTACACAGCCTGGGAGAGAAATAATTATACATCAGAACACTGACATCACACACACACACACACACACACACACACACACACACACTAATTACCTCTCTCTGTCCTCGCTCTCTTTTTATGGTCAGGATTGTCTGAAAACAATGCTAAAGATCATGAAAAAGAGTGCATTTCTCTGAGTCAATGTGTGTGTGTGTATGTGTGTGTATCAGTTTCAAACACATTCAGTTAGAAACACTTTCTTTTTCTTTATCGCTCTTTTTGTCTCTCTCTCTGTGTATTTCCATTCACCTGAAAACCATGCTATTCCATCAGAAATAAACAGCTACAGTTCCAGACCAAAACAAAAGCTATATATAATCTCTGTAGAAAATCAATTACAGTAAATCTGTAAAAAGTAAACACACAACACTAAACAGAGGCTTTGCTAGCTAAAGTAATGCACTTTTTTCAAAAAACATCAAACTCCCATAAAACACCAAACACACACCACAAAAGCAAACTGTTATAATCAAATGAGTACATTTCTTCAATTTCTCAACAAACAACACAAAACACAGGTTTCAGTTTGAGCCTCTTCAGCTCTGCTAATACTTTACTGTAAATAGTTCTAGAATGTTAAAGTGTCAGAACATCACAGCATGGAATCAATCATGCATACTCTCCAAATAAAACACCAAAAATATTCAGAAACAAATATTTTTTTCTGCTCATTTTTTATACTCTTGAAAGAAAAGTGTGAGTGGTTGCAGTGGTTGATGCCAAACTGGAGGTCTGATTTATTTATCAGTAGAGGGTGGTACTGTGGCAGAGGGGCCTAAGCTAGATGTGTTGGAATACATACCATACCAAACTTATACTTGTAGTGAAACTCTCGAAACTAGCATCCATTGTACACATTTTTCAAAGTCTGTCATTGTATGAAAGACTGTCATTTCAAAAGACTGTCATTGTATGAATTGCCTTTACACAATAACAGGCACACCTACTACATATCCCTCTACTGACATAATTGAAGTGCTCCTATATATGTATAATTTTAGACAATATTGCTTTCCCTTATTCTAATGTTTTTGTAAGTGTGGAAAAAATTTAAATATAGGAACAAATGTTTCTTAATATCTCAAGTAAATTCTCTCTTTTTTGTGTAGAGGGGAATGTGTAACACAAACTACCTTAAAGCACATTGTTGCAGTACCAAATGTCACTGATTAGTAATATATTTATAAAATATTTAAATCATTTAAAGTTTATTATCTTGTAAATCAGTTTTATCATTATTCTTCCTGTGATAACATTTCATCTACAGCCTTGATTATCAGTCCATGCAGTCAGCAACTAATGATGATTGATTGCTGAGTTAACACTTGTGCACTATGTAGTTCAAACAGGTGCTAAATGTAAACTTGACTGAGCATATTTTCTTTTGGCTGTGTCCAAATATTTTCTTTTGTTTTACACAGCTCTCCAATTCAGTTTTTTGTTTTTCTTTGAGATCTGTACTATGCTTTGATAAAATATGTAAACGTTAATGAAAACTGCAAAAATGTATTAAAATATTTGAAAGAGAATGTTGTGTTTGTTATACTACAGTTGAAACTATAGTTCCTGCATCTGTCCACCAGGTGTCACTATGACACACACTAAGTTGATTGAGATTCTGTTATGTATGTGAAGAAGAATGGTGTGTATGTAAGAAGCAAGCAAGTCAAAAGAAAGTTTTGCACTGTTACTTGAGTCTTGTTAGATTGTGTATACACTGCATAACAGAGAACACTTTTCTAATGCGATGAAATTGAAAATGAAGATCAAATGTATCCATTTTGTTAAACATGATGTATAAATCAAGAACATCTGCAATGTGAGTTTAAGGAGTGAGTTTTGTGTTTTCCCCTAAATTTGATTCCTCACAGATGTGTTACTGCACAGTAATGACAGCACTGTATACATAAAAGTGGAGTCCTACTGATTGTAATGGTGTATGTGTCTAATCTCAGTGAAAAGCTAGATTATAAAACCATATAGAGATATGAAAGTGTGTATATCTGTCTCTGTGTCTCTCAAATCTGTCTTTTTTCAGTACTCTCTGTTCTCTGTGTATGTTTCTCTGGCTGTCTTCTGTATCTCTCTCTGTTCTTTTTTGTCTCTTTGTGTCTCTCTTTCCTTCTATCTTGCTCACTCTATGTTTGTCTCTCTCTTCGTTTTCTTTCCTTATTCTCTCTTGTTGTATCCCTCTCTTTCTATTTTGTCAATGTTTGTCTCTCTGCTTTGTCTTGTTCCGTTGCTTTCTGTATAGCTCTCTCTGCATCTCTAAACTTGCTGACTCTTTCTTGTTCCATCTCTTTCTCTATATTTAAAGAAGTTGCTGATTTTTTAATGAAAGTTTATGTGTGAATCATCTATACACTCAAAGTGATAAAGTGATGATTTTACTTCAGTATCTCCAGTTTACAGTGTGGATTCTTCAGTCCAGCAGAGAGCAGCTCCACTCCTGAATCCTGCAGTTCATTATAACTGAGGTCCAGTTCTCTCAGACTGGAGGAGTTTGAGCTGAGAGCTGAGGACAGAGCTGCACAGCTTTTCTTTGTGAGATTACACCAACACAGCCTGGAAGAGAAATGATGATCCATCACAACACTGACATCACACACACATACAACCCCATGTTCTATCTTTGTATCTCTCTCTGTATTTCACTGTGGTCTACATCACTCACTTCTTTGTAACTGTATTTCATTATGTTCTCTCTCTCTCCCAGTTCTCTCTGTATTTCATTGTACTCACTTTCACAGTTCTGTCTATGTTTCATTGTGTTCTCTCTTTCTCAGTTGTCTTTCTCTGTATTTCATAACATACAGATTGATGAAGAGCTGATCACACCTCAATTTCTCCAGTTTACAGTGTGGATTCTTCAGTCCAGCAGAAAGCAACTCCACTCCTGAATCCTGCAGTTTATTGTCATTCAGGTCCAGTTCCTTCAGACATGATGAGCTTGAGCTGAGAGCTGAGGACAGAGCTGCACAGCTTTTCTCTGTGAGATCACAGTCAAACAGCCTGGAACAGTAATAATAATACATCAGAACATTGGTGTCTCTCTCTCTTTCTTTCTGTCTCTCTCTCACTCACACACACACACAAACACTCTAACAAACACAATGAAAGACACATAATAATACACATACATTCTCTCACAGAAACAAAGACACATACTATCTTTCTTCGTCTCTCTTTCATAGTCAAGTTCAGCTGAAAACAATGCTAAATGGTAAATATCTGTGCAGAAAAACCACACTGAGAATTACAGTTTTTTCCCATTTATGTGAATGTTTTCTTTTTCATTCAGAAGTCACATATTTAAATGGTAAAGAGAAAATACTAAACAGTGTTGCTAGCCAAAATAATTCCATTTTTGTAAAACTATCACATTTTCAAAACACACTAAAAAAACACCACAAAACTAAACTTATCTAACAGACAATACAACTTACAATCAGGTGCATAAATTACTTCAGTCTCAACAAACAACTAAAACACAATATACAGATTTCAATTTGAGCCTATTCAGCCTTCATTACTATTATAATGTGTAGATACTGATACTAGAATGTTTTCAAATGTAAGAATGTCACAGCATGGAATCTATTCCTGTCTCCTAGGTAGATTTACCAGAGGTACATTTCAGTCCAATGTGCTTCATACCCCCAAACCACCCAAAATATTCAGAAACACTTTTTTACCTATTTTGTGTACTCTAGAAACAAAGGTAAGAGTGGTTAATGCTTACTGTGGTAGAGAAGCCAAATATAGAAGTTTTGGCATACATACCATACTGATTTTCCAGTGAAATCCCAGCAATAATTATGGACCATGTCATCAATCATGGAATATCCATGAAAGAAAGAAGGTCCATTTTAAATCTATGTTGGCACACTGTGTCATCCATTGTGCACGTTTTTCAAAGGTACATTAGGTAAGACTGCCATTGTATGAATTGTTTTTACACAATAACTGATGTACCTATTGCACAGCCCTCTATTGACATCATTGCAGGCCATCTGTTTTTCTTTAATAAATGTGGAAAAAATGCTTAAACAAATGTGCTACATCCTAGGATGCATTCAGGATTGTAACTGAACTTGTAACTGGTTTTGTGCTGCCCTTTTGTTTTGGTTTTTTTTGTTTGTTTGTTTGTTTGTTTTGGTTTTTTGCTGTCTGTCTTTTAGGCTGACATTCCGGTGTGGGGATTAGAGTAGTGGAGGCTGTCACAAAGAATTATGCCTTGTGATTGGTCCAACACAATGATGCAATGCTGAAAAGGCCCAACCCAATGAGCAGTAGCCACCCAGGGAATTTTAGTCTGCTGGCAGACACCTTGTGGCTGCAGCAGTTTGGGCTTATAAAATGCTTGTTGTTCTTTGTTTAGACTGTTAGACTTGTTAAATGTTTCACCTTGTTGTTAGTTTCAGGTGCTGTCTTTCAGATATGTTTATTGCTTAATAGTAGAGTTTACTGTGGATTACTGAGTAATGCCACATTTTTGTACATCAGGTTTTAGCTTATGAACTTTCTACTCACATTTCTACTTACATTAAAATCAAATAAGATTTGCATTAGCTGTAGAAGTGAGTGCCATTTATCTTTGCTCCCTTTTTCTGGTTTTACCAACTAAAAAGCCAGGGAAAGAGCATTTTTTTATTTTGTTTTCTTTGAAGCAAGGTGGCTTCATGGGTTAGCCTTTTTATTTTTTTATATCCACTGTCTCCCTGTTAAGAAAGTGTATCTTTTTGACAAGAAAGGAGAAACTATACCTTATTGGCTTCGATCAGACTTTGTGTGCTGCTTTTTCATTTTTATGTTGTAACCTGTTAAACCCAGGACTCCAGAGAGAGGTTATTTTCTACACCCATGATACATGAGGTTGTAACAAATGCTTCCTAATATCTCAGGTGAATTCTCTTTTTTTATGAGTAAAGCAACATGTGCAACACAAGCTGCCTTAAAGCACATGGTTATAGTCCTATAGCAGAATCCACTGTCTGATTTTTAATTTCTCTCAATATTTCATAATTCTGTCCTACATTTTTATTCTTTCTGTGGTAAAACCTTGCCTAAAGTCTCCTTTATCAGTGCATACAGTCAGCCACTGATGACAACTGACTGCTGAGTTAAAAGTTGTGCACTATATGTGTCAAACAGGTGCTGAAAGTAATAATCACTGTGATAATATTTTTGTTTAGCAGTAGCATGTATAAACATACTTGAAGAGAACACATTTGTAATGTGAAGAACACACACAGTGGTAAAGTGATGATCTTACTCCAGTTTTTCCAGTTTACAGTGTGGATTCTTCAGTCCAGCAGAGAGCAGTTCCACTCCTGAATCCTGCAGTTCATTTTTTCTCAGGTTCAGTTCTCTCAGACTGGAGAAGTTTGAGCTGAGAGCTGAGGACAGAACTGCACAGCTTTTCTCTGTGAGATTACAGTCACACAGGCTGGAAGAGAAATGATGATACATCACAACACTGACATCACATACACTCACACATTCTCACACACACATTGTGTTCTCTCTCTCAGTTCTCTGGATTCCATTGTGTTCTCTCCGTCTGTATTTCATTGTGTTATCTCTCTTTCACAATGAAATCTATCTTTGTCTCTCTGCTTTTTCTCTTTTATCTGTTTTTTCTTCTTTCTGTTTCTCTCTTTCTTTATTCAACGATGTTGGTGAGTTTTTTCTATGAAAGTTTTTGTGTGTGTGTGTGTGTGATGTATACTCAAACATACACAAACAGTGATAAAGGGATTATCTTACTTCAGTATCTCCAGTTTACAGTGTGGATTCTTCAGTCCAGCAGAGAGCAGCTCCACTCCTGAATCCTGCAGTTCATTGTAACTCATGTCCAGTTCTCTCAGGCTTGAGGAGTTTGAGCTGAGAGCTGAGGATAGAGCTGCACAGCTTTTCACTTTGAGATTACAGTCACAAACACTGGGAAAGAAATACATCAGAGCACTGACATCTCATACACATACATACCATTGCGCACAATCAAATACAAAATAATACACACAAACATACAAACACAGTCACAGAAACACACAGAAACACATTTTCACTCTCCCTCTCTTTTACTCTCTTTCTCCCTTTTATGGTCATGGTTATCTGAAAACAATGCCAAATGTTACGCTCCACTCCATTTTGTGTTGCTGTTTTGTCTGTGCCTCTCTTCTGCCTTCCCAGTTGCAGCCTCATTCCTCGATCCAGTCTGTGTTTAATACATCACCACTCACTCCAGTCCATAATCCAGCCCATGCTCCAGTTCAGTTCAGATAATGTAATTGGGCGGGAAGAATAAAAGAGTCCTCCTCAGCTCTACTGACAGCTTTTGCTTTGCTCACTTTGTTTCTGTTGCTTGTCTGTTTGCATGTTTGAGTAATCTCTGACTGTTTGGTCTTTGACTGCTTCGTTTGACCTCAATTTAGCCTAGCCCACTTAAACCTGTTTGCTTCTTGTATATTTTGTAAATAGATTCCCTTTTTGTATATTTTGTAAATAGCTTCACCAGGTGTAGGGTTTGGCTGCCATTTTGTTTGGGTTTTGGGTTCTGTCTGGGTTTTGCATAAGGTAAACTGTTTCTTTTGTTTGTTCTTTGGTTTTGGTTAAGGCTAATTAAAATTTGTCTTGGAGTTAGAGTGGGTTCATTTGTTGTTTAGGCCTTGGCCAAACCTGAAGACAAACTGGTGTTCCACTGTACAGTTGTAAAATCAACATTGAATATGCTATTAAGATCAATTAGATGTTTTTTGTCTCATTATTACACACACACACCTTCACATAGCATACATTTTGCACCACACCATTCTTTTACGGCCCGACCCTACACCGGGTCTTAACACAAACTATAAATGTAACATGTATGTAGATAGACCTATAGGAGTTTTTCCTGAGTACTTGAATGTTTCTGTTCATTCAGAAGCCATATATTTAAAACAGTAAACACATGACACAAACCAAAATAATGCACTTTTTTGCAAAGACACTAAACAAACACCACAAAAGTAAACTTTTCTATCAGACACTACAGTTTACAATAAGGTGAGTACATTCCTTCTATCAGTCATAAAAAAACAACACAAAATACAGGTTTCAATTTTAGGCTATTCAGCTTGCATTGGTGCTGTATGTCTGTGCTGTATTGTCTGCTAATACTTTACAATAAACAGATTTAGGAAGTGTTAAAATGTAAGAATATCACAGTGTGGAATTATTCTTGTCTCCTTGACAGGTTTACCACATTTATTTCAGTACAGTGTGGCCCACACCCTCCAAAACAAACATCCTAAATATTAAGAAACATGCTTATTTTTGCTGCTCTTAAAACAAAGGTGAGAGAAGTTGCAGTGCTTGATGTGAAGCTGCAGGTCTGAGTATTTGTCAGGGAAGCCAAAGATAAAAGTGTTGGCACACATACCATTCTGAACTGAAATTTCCAGTGAAATTCAGGCAACAATAATAGTCAATATGATCAATTATGAAACATCCTTAACTGTGGATGGAAGAAGGTCCAACCCAAATACATTTTTGCACACTGCATCGCATATAAACCATTTATCAAAATTAATTAATTAATTATCTTTACAGCATAATAGATGTACCTATTACACATCCCTCTACTGACATCACTGCAGGACTGTATGTTTATCATTTTGGAAAATATTGCATACTACTACTCTGAACTTTTTTATAAGTATAGAAAAATACAAAATGCAAAATGCAGAAACAAAGGTTTCCTAATATGTCAGGTGAGTTCTCTCTTTTTGTGTAGAGCAGTATTTGCAATACACACTACCTAAGCACAGTGTTACAGTACTCTGGCAGAATCCACTGTTTGTTTTTTACTTCTCTCAATATTTAAACTCTGTCTTTTTCATAAACCATTTCTCTACCTCTATTCTTCATTATGGGAATATTTTCTTTTAGCTGTTTCTAAATGTTTCCTTTTGTTTTACACAGATTTCCAAATGAGTTTTGTTTCTCTGTGAGATGTTATAAATCCTTTGATAATATATTTGAAAAATGAGTGAAAGAAGGAAGAGACTCAAAATGAGTAAAACCAGTGAGCATGTTTTAACATACTTTAAGAGAGCACTTTTGTAATATGGACAAAGTGACAATGAACATTAAATTGACCCAAACTTTATTAAATATAATTTAAGAAAGTTTTTCCTCCAAACTGGTTTCCTAACAGATGCATTATTGCAAAGCAGGTGCCAGAAGTCCTACTGATTGTTATGGCCTGTGTGTCTAATCTGAGTGAAAAACTTTTTCTGAGTTATAAAATCATACAAAGATATGCAAGTATGTGTTCATGTTTACCTGTCTATCTCTCTCAGTTTCTCTGTTTTCTATGAATGTATCTCACCCTCTGTTCTTTAACTCTTTCTTCTTGTATCTTTGTGTGTCTCTCTTTGTCGTTTTATCTTGCTCTCTCTGTCTGCCCCATGTTCTCTCTTTTTATCTGTATCTCTCTATTCTGTCTTTTTATCTGTATCTCTCTATCTTCATCTCTGCTTTGTCTCTTTCAGTTTTTATTCTGTCTAGCTCTGTCTGTCTCTGTTCTTATCTCTCCCTCTGTCTCTCTCTCTCTGGCTCTTTCACTGTCTCTCTTGACATATATTTTTCTTTATCTCTCTGTAATTAAAATTGTAGCAGGTTTTTCTTTGATAGTGTGTGTGTGACTGATCTATACACACACACACACACACACACACACACACAATAATATAGGGATCTTACTTCAGTATCTCCAGTTTACAGTGTGGATTCTTCAGTCCAGCAGAGAGCAGCTCCACTCCTGAATCCTGCAGGTTATTGTTACTGACGTCCAATTCTCTCAGGCTGGAGGAGTTTGAGCTGAAAGCTGAGGACAGAGCTGTACAGTTTTTTGCTGTGATATTACAGTTATACAGCCTGGGAGAGAAATAACAATACATCAGGACACTGAAATCACATATACACACACACACAAACACAATCCCAGAGGTATACACACAAACACTCACACACGCAAACACAGCCCTAATTATACACACAATCACACACAAAAATTATACTCTAGTTGTTTTATCATGGAAACTTTCTATTCTTAGCCAAGTTTCAGCTTCATTGGCCACCATGTGTCTTACATTAAATTAAATGTTTAAATGGGCTCTTACTGACCATTTGGATCATCAAATGGATTTCTGATATGTCAGAAATTGTGGTTGCCTGTCCTTCACAGTGTAAGTACCCATGTCTTCACATGTCAATCAGATTGCGAATTGTTTTGTACAGTGTTAGTATATAAATCACAATAAACAGCTGATACACAGTGATATACAGTGCACATCCTACTTCTATTACACAAACTCTACCAAAATAAAAATATTGTATACCACTCTGTATCATGTAATCATCATGAACATATCAAAGCAGGTTTTATAACTGCATAACTGTGCTTAACTTTATAATTGTGCTTTGGCCACTGAGTCTGTACTTGGTCAGCATTTGTCTCTGTATTGGTCACTGAGTCTGTACTTGGTCAAGATTCTCTGAGGTTGAATAGATACTCTGCCAGTTCATACTCTCTGTTTAGGGCCCAATGGTACAAATGTAATGCATCGATATCATCATTTAAATAAAACATGTAATTTATTGTAAATAGTACAAAGACAACAAATTTGTTATTTGAAAAATATATGCCCACTTTTAAATTTGAGAAATATTTCCAAAAAGATAGGACAAAATTCAATATATTGAAACATCTCAAAACTAATTAGCTTATTTGGCAACAGGCCAGTAACATGATTGGGCATAAAAGAGAATCTGAGAGAGGCTGAGTATCAGAAGTATAGATGGCGAGGGGTTTACTACTCCGTGAAAAACTGCAGAGTGAAACAATGCAACAAGTCAAAAAAAATGTTTCTCAACATAAAATAACAAAGAACTTAGGGATTTAATCATTTACAGTATGTAATATCATTGGAAGATTCAGAGAATCCAGAAGAATCTCTGTGTGCAAGGGACAAGGCCAAAAACCTGTATTACCTGTCCATGATCTTTGGGTGCTCAGGTGGCACTCTAGAAAAAAACAGGCATGATTCCATAGTGGAAATCACTGCACAGGCTCAGAAACTTTTCTGAAAACCACCGTTGCTTCCACAAATGCAAGTTAAAACTCTACCACGTGAAGAAGAAACCATTCATACATAAGACCCAGGAACTCTGATGCATTCTCTGGGTCTCAGCACATTTAAGATGGACTGAGTGGAAAAGTGTCCTGTGGTCTGACTAATCAAAATTTTAAATTATTTTTGAAATTCATGGACTCTGTGTCCTCTGAGCTAAATAGGAGCAGGACCATCTGACTTATCAGTGTGTTATCAGCACATGGTTCAAAAGCCAACATCTGTCATGGTATGGAGGGGGGGGCATTAGTGTACATGGCATGGATGATTTTCACATCTGTGAAAACACCATTAATGCTGAATAATATATATACAGGTTTTGTAGCAACATATGCTGCAATCCAGAGGATGTCTTTTTCAGAGAAGACCTTGCTTATTTCAGCAGGACAACACCAAACTTATTACAGCAGCAGGGCTCTGTAGTAAAAGGTGTCTCAAACAACATGTCTCAGTTTCAACATTTGATTTATTGTCTTTGTACTATTTTCAATTAAATATTGTGTGTAAATGATTTGCACATCATCATATTCTACTTTTATTTACATTTTGTACAGCGCCCCGACTTTTTGGAAAATGGGGTTGTAGACTGAATTTTGGTTTCACCATTCCAATGTTACACATAGGTCTTTTTACTGTTTGATAATTTGGTTTACACTGATTGTACTCTGGTCAGCAGTGCTAGAGTGGGGCTGTTGTGTGTTTGGGGTTAGTGGGTTAAATTGAATTGAATTCTTAATTTATTTCTGCAGAATTCTGCATGCATTGTATTTTTTTTTTTTAGGAATTTGTTAATGAGGTCAGTGATCTCTGTAGAACTGATTGCACTGGTGAATTCAGACACACTGTTAAGAGTCCGTTTGTAAGTAGGGTTGATTTGTATTAGTTTACAGGACTCTTCTGATTTCTTTATTGTTGGATTCTCTTGAGGAACATGTTAATTTGGCAGTGGTCTAATAATGGTAACTTTTTTTGTTTGTTTGTTTGTTTTTTTTAAATCCCCGGGCCAGTATTCCTTGGCCACCCCACCACACTTTTTATGGGGATTTTTTTTTCTTTTCACTATTAATGTCACAACGTTTTCGTTTCATTATTAATGTCACAACTGTATCATTTTTTATCAGTGCAAATACAAGGTGATGTGGTACTACAACCATCCAACCCCACTCCAAACACCAGGCCCAGACCTTGACAGAGCTGTACTAACTCCTTACCATTCTTATTTACAGTAGAGTCTGGGTTATTGCGTGTTGTTGCTGTGGGGCGGCCCTAAACGTGTGGTTGTTTCCTTGTGTGTCTTTTATGTCAGGTTCTGAGCCTGTCATCGCATTGAAAACTCCACACAGCAGCACAGTGCCCTGAGCCTGGAAATGGCTGCTTTCTTTCTAGAGGTTGTTGAAGATCTCATCTCTACAGTAGGGGATTCTGCAGGAGGAGTGTAAGCTGCACAGATATAGAAGTCACTGTTACGCTCAGTAATGCTTCTCTTAAGTTTAAGCCCAGTATGGGTGAGCTCTTTTTTGACAACTGATAAATGGGATATCAGGCTCTTCTTATACAAGATAATGACATGAATCTCTGTCGTGCTTTATATTTGAATGTTTGTAGGAAGATAGGAGGACTCTCATTCTCTCCCTCTCTCTCACACACACATACTTTGTCTCTCTGTCTCTCTAACTCTTAACTTTCTCTCTTTGTCTCTCTTTGTGTTTCTTTTCTCACACTCTGTTCTCCCTCCGTTTCCCTCTGTCACCCCGTCTCTCCCTTTTCCTCTCTCTCACACACTCATGCACTGTCTCTCTAACTCTCTCTGTCTCTCCCTTCCTCTCTCACACATTTTCTATTTCTCTTTTTCCTCTCTTTCACTCTCATTCTCTCTTCACTCTCTCTCTCTCAGATTACTTGTTAAAAAATAAAACTTATATAATGTTTTATTAAATCTCACCAATGTTGCTTAATATTCAAATAATGATATCTATGAAAATAATTCATTTTTATTAGAAAATCTTTAGACCTTGGTTGAAAATAAAGCTTCATTGCTGCCATCTGGTGGAACTGAGAGGTTGGTGCAAGCTATAAGCTAACTCTACAAAGAAAGTCTTTTTTTCCATTTAATTTTTATGCTTCTTTCTTTGTATAAAGAGTGACTAATTGGGAAGAGAAATAACTATCCACTTCCTGTAGTTTTAGTTTTACATGCACATAGTGTGGTATGCCTGGTAGGGACGATAAAAGTTCCAGTGTTGGAATTTACCTCACTTCCACTTTTCGGCAGACAAAGGGGAGCTTGAATTGTTTGGCGCAAGCTGCTGTTGCTGTAGGAAGAATGAGTCCTGGTAGGCTTGTAAGATCCACTTGTTTCTTTGTTTGAAACATGGGGGTTATATTTAAGTATTTGTGATCATTTTAGGTGATTGTGGTTTGGTAAAAAGACCAAATAGATGTCCATTTAGAATTAGAAGCAGGTCTCCAGCCTGAGTACCGGTGGGTGGCGTTTCATTCCTTGTTTAGTTAAAGTAAACAGTGGTGAAAAGCACTATTGGGTGGATTTGTAGATTGTTGCGGTGGCATTAAGCAACGTTGGGACGCATTAACTGGAGGGGAAGGTGTCAGTATTAAGTGTATTTCCTCTTAGTTTTGTTTTTCCCCTCTCTTTCTTCCTGCAACAACATGGTCTATTTGGTGCTTAAGATTCTGAAGGAGTAATCGACTTTGCAGTCCACGCTACCGGTAAAGTGAGCTGTATGTTTTGAGTGACTAATCTCAGCTTCTCCGGCTCGTCCAAGGGTGGTTGAGTATGACTGCAGGTTAAATAGGTATGTGCTGTTTTGGGACTTATGGATTGATTTTCATTTAGATTAACAACTGAAGGTGTAAATTTGGCCACCATATATACACTTTATGGCATGTACATGGGTGTATATATATGCTAATAATAAGGGTGCATATAAATCTGTTTTTTTGTATAGTATTTTCTAACCACTGAATGTACACATAACTTGAGGTTAGAGATGTAGGTGCAAAGAGCTGTGGAGGTTTTATTTTAAAGGCTAAATGAAAGTATTTTTGGTGATGTGATTTTGTCTCTTTGCAGTGGATGGAGGCCTGGTTGTCTGCAGGCCACTGTTTTCCCCGGGTTTTCTTTTATAGATACCTTCTGAGATATTCGCACCAAGCCGCCTCTTTTAGGGTATTTTTATATGTACTATTTTGAGATTCCCTGTTCAGCTGCCCATTGATATTATTTTTATATCAACATTTTGGAATAATATTTGCACTTGAGTGCCTGTCTATGGTAGGGGTTTTATTAAAGAGTGTGTGGGTTAACTGCTCATTACAGTGAGACTCGGGTAATATTCCTTCGCCATAATTATAGCATTTGATATTTTTTTTCCTTTTTTTTCTTTTCTTCTTTTTTTGTGCTCCTGAAGTGTACAATTTCAATTTCATCACTCAGATTTGTGCTGAGATTATTTTGGTATTTTGGTTTTGTGACATGTGCAGTTAGGTTGTCTGTGACTAACTCATTTATTTGAGTGTTCCAGTGTGGGGCCTCCTACCCAGTAAATTGGGGTGACATAGTCTGGGTATGCCATGTGGGGTGTTGTATAAGAATTCCTTCCTTTGACACCTGCACTGGTCACACTTAGTATAGTCAATATCATTATTTTATTCCATTAGAAAGTAAAGATTGCGATGTTTAACATGATTTTAAATTAGATTGATGTAACTAATTTATCAAAATTATCAAATTATTTGTCATAAATGTTTGGTATTAATTATTACATTGAATTGTTAAATTATTCACAGTGGTTAGTATACATTACTTAATTTTAATAGATTTTTTTATTTAATAATCATAAGTAAAAAAAGCACAGCTACAGTACGTATCACACACACAGACACACACCCAATAATCCATAAACCAGTAATGAATCAGTGGTATGTTGGAAACTGATTAAAATAAGTAATGAAAATAATTATTCTAATCAGTGCAGTTTAATCCAGTGATACATTAAATTAATAAACAGTGCAGTGACATATTTAAAACAGAAATACTCACACAGCTCTCTTGGAAGCTTTGATCACTGGCAGCAGATTCAGAACACATTCATCTGATAGATCATATTTATTCAAGTTAAACACATCCAGCTCCTCTTCTGAGTTCAGCAACACAAACACCAGAGCTGACCACTGGGCAGGAGAGAGACTGAGTCCACTGAGACGAAAGTAATCACCTCTGTTCAAGTATGTTTGAACTTCCTGCACTAGAGAATGATCATTCAATTCATTCAGACAGTGGAACAGATTGATGGATTTCTCTGGAGAGGGATTCTCCCTGATCTTCTCCTTGATGTACTGGACTGTTTCCTCTTTGCTGCGAGAGCTGCTTCCTGTCTGCGTCAGTAGGCCGCGTAAGAGAGTCTGATTGGACTCCAGTGAGAGGCCCAGTAGGAAGCGGAGGAAAAGGTCCAGGTGTCCATTCTCACTCTGTAAGGCCTTGTCCACTGCAGACCTGAGAAAGTCTGACATTTTGGACTCTCTGAAAATACCAGAGAGATCAGAGGTCAGCCGTTTTGTTGCATTTTTGCTGATAAAGGAGAGAAATGCATATAAAGCAGCCAGAAACTCCTGAACACTCAGGTGCACAAAGCTGAACACCTTCCCCAGGTGCAGCCCAAACTCCTCTCTGAAGATCTGGGTACAAACTCCTGAGTACACTGACACTTCTCTGACATCAATGCCACACTCTCTCAGGTCCTCCTCATAGAAGATCAGATTGCCTTTTTCCAGCTGTTGGAAAGCCAGTTTTCCCAGTGCCAGAATCATCTTTCTAGTCTGCTGAAGATCAGTGTCACATTTCCCATGGTACTTTTGGTCCTTGTGTTTGATCTGAAAGATCAGGAAGTGTGAGAACATTTGAGTCAGAGTCTTGGGGATCTCTCCACTCTCTGCTTCACCCAAAACCCTCTCTAGAACAGTGGCTGAAATCCAACAGAAGACTGGGATGTGGCACATGATGTAGAGGCTTCTTGAGGACTTCATGTGTGAGATGATTTTATTAGCCAGGCTCTGGTCACTGATTCTTTTTCTGAAGTACTCCTCTTTCTGAGGGTCACTGAACCCTCGTACCTCTGTTACCATGTCAACACACTCAGGAGGGATCTGATTGGCTGCTGCTGGTCGAGAGGTTACCCAGAGGAGAGCGGAGGAAAGCAGATTCCCCTTAATGAGGTTTGTCAGCAGCACATCCACTGAGGCTGAATCTGTTACATCCCACAAGCTCTCATTGTTCTGGAAATCTAGAGGAAGTCGACACTCATCCAGACCATCAAAGATGAACATGACTTTATAAGCATCACAGTCTATTGATCTTAGTTGTTTTATATTTGGGAAAAAGCGATGAAGAAGCTCCATCAGACTGAAATCTTTCTTTATCAGATTCAGCTCTCTAAAAGGAAGTGGAAATATGAAGATGACATCCTGATTTGCTTTTCCTTCAGCCCAGTCCAGAATGAACTTCTGCACAGAGACTGTTTTTCCAATTCCAGCAACTCCTTTAGTCAGCACAGTTCTGATGGGTTTGTCTTTAAAGAGGTCATTGCATTTGATGGGTTTCTCCAGTGTTGCTGGTCTCCTGGATGCTGTCTCAATCTGTCTGACCTCATGTTCATTATTGACCTCTCCACTCCCTCCCTCTGTGATGTAGAGCTCTGTGTAGATCTCATTCAGAAGGGTTGATGTTCCATGCTGTGAGATTCCTTCATTGATACTGCAAAATTTCTTCCTCAGTTTTTGTTTATATACAGTGACCATACCTGAGAAGTAAACAGACAATAGAGTTTTTAAAAGTAGAACCCTCTGTAGATCTAATTAAACAAAGTGGACTGTCCTTCATTAATTCTCCATTAGCTTGGATCTGTCTTTTTGTTTACACATTTAACAATGATTATTTGTGAGTTTCCAAGAGGAAAGAACTTATAAAATAAACTGGCTGCCCTAAATATTGCTATATTGACTTCGTTGAACCCTTAACTGTAAGTTAACAGCACAATAATCACTCTTCCATTCTGTAAACAATTATTTGAAGTTTGATTATTGGCTGAATTGGAGAGACTGTGCACTTGCCCAGGTAATTGACTAGCTACAGTTTGCCTGGAGACAAGATTCTAAAGTCAGCTGAAAGAAGGTTCTTCTGGTCTGATCAGATCAAATTTGAGCTGTTTGTCTACCAGTCTAAATGTCACTGCACATTACAGTAAAAACACCAGCACGATCATGAAGCATGGTGGTGATAACATCATGCTGTGGGGCTGCTTCTCTGCAGGTCCTGGAAGGCTTCTGAGGGTAGAATGAATTCAGCAAAACAGAGGGAAATACTGCAAGAAAATCTCATGCATTCTGCAAGAAACTGGAGCCTTCTTGGAGATGACTCAAATCTCAGAACAGAGAATTTGTGGCTGGACTTGAAAAAGGCTGTTCAGTTATGATCCCCATGCAATCTGAGAGAGATTGAGCAGTTTTGTAAAGCCAAATAGGGAATTGGAGTATCTAATGTGCAAAGCTGACAGGGAGTCTGTACCCACACAGACTCAAGGCTGTGATTGCTGGGTAATCTAATAAATGCATCTAATAATCTCTCAACTCCTTCCCTCTGTGATGTAGAGCTCTCGTAAATCTCATTCAGAAGTTGAGGTACCATGCTGTGATATTCCTTAAATTCTGTGAAATTTTGTCTCCAGTTTTTGTTCATATACAGTGACCAAATCTGAGACATAAACACAAACAATGCATTCTTTAATGTTTGTAAACGTTTCAAGTTCAGGTTTTATTTACACACATTGTTGAAAAAGTTGGTACAGACAACAGCAAAAATTATTTGTGTTTAGAAGTGTTTGAGATTGCTGGAAATTCTTAGTTTTCTGAATTATGAAAATGTAATATGCTACTAATTGCTTAGCAACAGATGCAAGGTAGTGATTGCTGCCTAAAATGCATCTACTCAGTACTGACTAGATGGAGGTGAATGCAACGCAATCAGGTATTTTTGTTCTATGTAATTTAGATCACTGTGCAGAGACCTATTTTCACTTTGACATGAAAGATTCTACACTATATTGCCAAACGTATTCACTCACCCATCCAAATCATTGAATTCAGGTGTTCCAATCACTTCCATGGCCACAGGTGTATAAAACGAATGGGTTGCTCTCAGGAGCTCAGTGAATTCCAGCATGGTACCGTGATAGGATGCCACCTGTGCAGTCCAGTCGTGAAATTTCCTCACTTCTAAATATTCCACATTCTACTGTCAGTAGTATTATAACGAAGTGGAAGCAAATGGGAACAACAGCAACTCGGCCACAAAGTGGTTGGCCATGTAAAATGACAACGCGGGGTCAGCGGATGGTGAGGCGCATATAGTGCACAAAGGTCGCCAACTTTCTGCAGAGTCAATCGCTACAGACCTCCAAACTTCATGTGGCCTTCAGATCAGTTTAAGAACAGCGTAGAGAGCTTCATGGAATGGGTTTCCATGGCCGAGCAGCTGCATCTAAGCCTTACATCACCAAGCGCAATGCAAAGCGTCAAATGCAGTGGAGTAAAGAGCCGCCACTGGACTCTAGAGCAGTGGAGACGTGTTCTCTGGAGTGACCAATCACGCTTCTCTGTCTGTCAATCCGATGGATGAGTCTGAGTTTGGCGGTTGCCAGGAGAACGGTACTAATCTGACTGCATTGTGCCGAGTGTAAAGTTTGGTGGAGGGGGAATATGGTGTGGGGTTGTTTTTCAGGAGTTGGGCTCGACCCCTTAGTTCCAGTGAAAGGAACTCTTAATGCTTCAGCAGACCAAGAGATTTTGGACAATTTCATGCTCCCAACTTTGTGGGAACAGTTTGGGGACGGCCACTTCCTGTTCCAACATGACTGTGCACCAGTGCACAAAGCAAGGTCCATAAAGACATGGATGAGCGCGTTTGCACTTTGTACTGTCTATTTTGTCCCATGTTGCGCCATGTTGTTCCTGGAGGAATGTAATTTCACTCCACTGTGTACCTGTACATAAATTAAATGACAATAAAAGCCTCTTGACTCTTGACTTGTAATGTGTACATTAAGATGTTACCTTCAGTGAGAGCAGGAGCACCAGGAGAACCTCCAGCCTGAACTGTACTGGTGCTGGAACGAGAAACTTCCTGACCTGGAGGAGAGACAACTGGAAATATCAGAACATTATGAAAGCTGCTTAAAACTAATAGCAATCAGTGAACTGTATCCAGAGGTGTAGACCACCTGTAAAACAATAAAATAGATGCACTGATGTACAGCCACAGATGGTGGTACATTATATATACACATATCTACAGCTTAGATATAACCTAAAATTCTCAGCCAGTCAAAATGATCCACACACAGTTTCTTACACTACATCACTCACCTCCCTGAATAATGGTTACATTCACTGAGCCTTGAATATTGTTTCCATGGAGAACAGGAGCACAGACGGTTCCTCCTGTCTGAGCTGTCATGTTGGTCTGAGCAGGACCGGTGTGAGCTGGAGTGGACGTTTCCATCTTCTAACGGAAAAGTCTCAAGTCATCAAGTCAGGAAGTTTATTGTGGTACTTCAGTAAATTCTTTTAAATACAGTAACTTTTTTAATCCTCTCATTACTAAAAGGCCAGGGCTCCCTGAGACTCACGGAGACTCTTCTCTCTTAAAATTCTTTATGTTCCTCTCCTCACTAAACATAGTGGAAGAGGGTTTATCTTCCTCTAAAATATGTTTGGACTGGTTTTAGTCATGGAGGAGGAAGTGTTTCTCATAGAGGGGGTGGAGTGAAGTGTTTAGAGCAGAACAGGAAGAGAGAGAGAGAGAGAGAGAGAATGAAGGGAGAAAGACAGAACGAGAAAGAAAGAGAGGAGAAAAAGAGAGAGAATAATCAGTTCAAAGTAGACTGTAGATGGAAACAGCAGATTGGACACTCACTACAGCTGGACAGCTGTGAAATATGATACCTTCAAAACAAGTTCTCAATTACAGTCCAGAGACATTATTGGGAGACCTCACTTCAATAGATAACTGCAAGGTAATGCGCAACCTACGTTTCTTCACACACCATCCAGCAGACTGGCATGTAGTAATATATGAAATGTTTCCTCACATAAAAAAACAGAATAAGCAAAGGAAGACAGGTCACCACATACAATGCTGTTGAATACACATCTCTCACCCTAACAGTCAATATATATCATAATGGAACAGTTATGACTCAGGAATCTGGAAACAGTCTAAAAAACTTGCAGAAAATTGTACTTTTAAAAAGGAATGCCACAGCTCCACAAACACCATGTCAGGACACTAAAAGAAGGACTGTCTGTCCTGCAGCAGGAATTCATAGCTTTTAATGAAACAGCTCAGTCCTTCATCAGAAAAATAACAATAGCCAGCCTGCAGGATAACTGGACTGTCTATTACAGCAACAGAGAGACGAGTTCAGAGATCTACAGCAGGCCATGAGAGACCTAGAGGTGGACAATCAGTCCCTGAGAATGATTTTATGTAGAGATTGTAAAATTGTTTACAAAAAGCCTTAAAGACACAGTTCTTCATCACACCAGACCTACGGCCCACTCCAGACTGGGGCACATGACTAAACAGCTCAACTCATCCCAGAATCTTCACCACAGCAGAGGAGCCAGAGGGGTTTTTACTGCCTCCACCCCCCATTTCACTGCACACCTCTCATCACCAGCCTCTTCAATCCAGAACATCTGGCCACCACAGTTCACCCTTCATTCAGCACTACGGCCTAAAGTCAAGCTGCTATAGCAGCATGAGAAACAGCACCTGCACCCACCCAGCTACACTCCAATCAGATAAGACTTTATCACCATTCTCCATGACAAACAGCTTAACTAGTTATGTTTAGGGTGTTCTATTTCTATTTTCTTATTTATTTTTTTTTAAATACGTTACCTTTCTACAAATACATTTGTAATTATGGGTAACTCAGTGTAGATTACTAGAACAAAAAATATGTCTTCATATGGTTAGGTTATAGACTGGATACCTCTTTATGAAACACCTGTAACTGACTGACAATGGCTTCCTTTTCAGTTAGATGTTGGAATATTCAAGGTTAATCAACATTTGGTTCAGCATTGGCAAATCCTGATTTAATCACCCTACAAGAAACATGGCATAACCACACCAATTCTTTCTGTCCAAATCATTACCTTGAGCTATATATACCTCCATCAAATCCATCCATATCAAAACTGGTAGAAACTCTGGTGGTATACTTTAGTGGTATAAAGAAGAACACAGAACATTTATCACCCCAATCAAAAAGGTAGAAAACATTTCTGGATCATAATCAACATGAACTTATTAGAAAATGACACAGACATCCATTCATGTGCAATTTATATATTACCCACAAATTCTCCTGATTTTTTAGAAAACACTTTTAGAAAAATCTCCAGAAAGAAATAAGCTATTTTCAAATTAGATTACATTTTATTCTGTGGCAATATAAATGCTAGACCTGGCAGAGAAAAAGATTTTATTGATTTAGAGGTAATTACCCACATACCTAAACAAATCCCTTTCTACCACACAAATACAGTAACTCGGAGACAAGGTTATGATGGCATAATAAACAAAAATGGAAAATATATTCTTCAGTTATGTAAAAGCCTCGGTCTGTACATTGTCAATGGCAGGACGAGAGGAGATTCCCTGGCAGATTCACCTACTGCTCTGTACTGGGCAGCAGCGTAGTAGATTATGCCATCACAGACATGAATCCTGGACATATCAGTGCTTTCACAGTATGACCACAAGTCCATCTATCAGATCAAAGCCAAATAGTCCTATACTTGGAAAAAAAAAAAAAATCTACAAAAGAAAGAAACAAGTCCAAAACACTGATACCTGCCCTCTCCCATAAACATTCAAGTGGACAGAACAAAGTATCATTGATTACTGATCAATAACTCTGATAAGATCCAGGAAATGTTAAATACATTCAGACTAAAAAAAAGGCATAAATCCAGCAACAGATGATTTGAACAAGATTTTCTGCCAGCTGAAAAAACTATCAAAACTAAAGATATTAAGATCCAAAAAATCTAAACAAAACCAAAGGAAAGGAATTTCAGTCCAATAACAAACTAGTCTTGTAGTACTTGAGTCTTTGTTTTTCAAGTTTATGTAGCGATTCTAAATAAGTTTTAAAGAAGAAAGGAACAGATGATAACCTCACCACTGCTTCTAGGTTCAATGCAAATCAAGTTCATAATATAATAATAATTAATAATGTTTTAGGTTATAGGCTAGAGGCTAAGCTGAATAGTATGATGGCTTCAGAGATAAGCATATGCCAAAATAATAAACAGAGCAACAGAATAACTAAAAAAAAATAAAAACAACAAAAAAAGAAAGCAAAATAAAACTAAAATACAAATGGCTACCCTTCCTCCCTGCTTTAAAACCAGGAGAAACAGTGACAGAAAACAAATGGTACTCATCTCCTACTTCTCACAAAGAGTTTCACAGAATCTAACAATGCTTTCATGAAATTTATGAGGGAAGAGTGGTGTGAAGAGTGCCAGGCTGGTCTGGAGAGGTGTTCTTCCAGGTCACATCAGAGGGGAGAGCGCCCTGAACATCTCCCAGGTGGTGGCTTGGTGACCTTTTATATACAGTCGAGGCTAGGCTTATGGAAGGAAAACTATGATCAGGGGTCATAACAGGCACTAAAAGACAATTAGTGCCCTTTAGACCACCCATTCTAAAAAAAATAAACTATAAGAAAAAAAAATTCAGTTCTTTAAAATGGAAAAGCATGTGGAATAGACAATACCAAATATAAAATTTAAAAATATAGTGTTCTGAAACTACAATTGACCACCCTAATACTATATAATCTAGTGCTAGAAAGTGGAATTTTCCCTTTGATCAGTAAAAGAGGTCTCATTACCCCACAATATAAAAATGGAGATTGATTTAAACCCAAACAACTATGAAGTTTAAGAATGGAACTAAGTGAAAAAGAAATAAAACTGCTTTTACATGCAGAGCAACACAAGCACTGCAACGCATAAGCCTTAAAAATATTGTCAGTACACCATCTCACCAGCACACACCACAGCCCAGTTCACTATCTCACCATCACACACCACAGCCCAGTTCACTATCTCACCAACACACACCACAGCCCAGTACACCATCTCACCAACATACACCACAGCCCAGTACACCATCTCACCAACACACACCACAGCCCAGTACACCATCTCACCATCACACACCACAGCCCAGTACACCATCTCACCAACACACACCACAGCCCAGTACACAATCTCACCAACACACACCACAGCCCAGTACACCATCTCACCAACATACACCATCTCACCATTACACACAACGACCCAGTACACCATCTCACCATCACACACCACAGCCCATTACACCATCTCACCAACACACACCACAGCCCAGTACACCATCTCACCATCACACACCACAGCCCAGTACACCATATCACCACCACACACCATAGCTCAGTACACCATCTCACCATCACACACCACAGCCCAGTACACCATCTCACCATCACACACCACAGCTCAGTACACCATCTCACCATCACACACCACAGCCCAGTACACCATCTCACCATCACACACCACAGCCCAGTACACCATCTCACCAACACACACCACAGCCCAGTACACCATCTCACCATCACACACCACAGCCCAGTACACCATCTCACCAACACACACCACAGCCCAGTACACCATCTCACCATCACACACCACAGCCCAGTACACCATCTCACCAACACACACCACAGCCCAGTACACCATCTCACCAACACACACCACAGCCCAGTACACCATCTCACCAACACACACCACAGCCCAGTACACCATCTCACCAACACACACCACAGCCCAGTACACCATCTCACCAACACACACCACAGCCCATTACACCATCTCACCAACACACACCACAGCCCAGTACACCATCTCACCAACACACACCACAGCTCAGTACACCATCTCACCGTCACACACCACAGCCCAGTACACCATCTCACCAACACACACCACAGCCCAGTACACCATCTCACCAACATACACCATCTCACCATTACACACAACGACCCAGTACACCATCTCACCATCACACACCACAGCCCAGTACACCATCTCACCATCACACACCACAGCCCAGTACACCATCTCACCAACACACACCACAGCCCAGTACACCATCTCACCAACACACACCACAGCCCAGTACACCATCTCACCATCACACACCACAGCCCAGTACACCATCTCACCAACACACACCACAGCCCAGTACACCATCTCACCAACACACACCACAGCCCAGTACACCATCTCACCATCACACACCACAGCCCAGTACACCATCTCACCATCACACACCACAGCCCAGTACACCATCTCACCAACACACACCACAGCCCAGTACACCATCTCACCATCACACACCACAGCCCAGTACACCATCTCACCAACACACACCACAGCCCAGTACACCATCTCACCAACACACACCACAGCCCAGTACACCATCTCACCAACACACACCACAGCCCAGCACACCATCTCACCAACACACACCACAGCCCAGTACACCATCTCACCATCACACACCACAGCCCAGTACACCA